TAATATAAGTACTACTAGGCTTATAACCTATTAAGACTAATAGGGTATATATAGGGTAAGAGGTAAAGTTATTATATTATATAACTTCTATCTAATTATATAGTATAGGTAAGTACTAAATATACTAGGTAATAGGAGATTATTCTTCTAGCTTCTAAGCTGCTTGTTATTAATTTAAAACTAACCTTTTTATATTTATATTTATTATTATATTTTTTAGTTAAGTATTAATATTTTTTATTTTATTAAAATAAAAAGGGTAGATTTACTAAATAGAGTTTAAGGTATAACTTCTAATATTACTTATTAAAATAACCTAGAAGCTTATAAAAAGAATAAAAGTACCTAATAGTATTAGGTTTTATTATACTATAAAAAGGATACTTTTTAATAGTTATTATAATAATTAAAATAGCTTATTATTTAGACTTTTTATTATTTTATTATTTAAGCTTAATAAGATTAATTATAATTATAATTACCTATATAAGTATAGTTATAGAAGTTATAATAGTATTATTAGTTTACTTTAGAATAAGATAAAAGGCTATTTTAATAATATAGAAGTTAAACTCTTTATTAAAACTATTAATAAAAAGATATATTATTAAAGCTTTAAAGACTTTAAAGTCTTTATTAAAAGATTACTATTTAGCCTAAATATTAATAAGTACTATAGCTAGTTTCTTAATAGATCTATATTAAGTAAAGGTTAATATTAGAAAATAGTTAGTTATAGTTTAAAAAATAATAATATCTTTTAATTTAAAATTCTTCTTTAAAGCTATAATTATATTTAATATTATAACCTTATTCTTAATAAGACTATAAGTATATTCTTTAAAGCTTATATTAATAAAAGTAATAATATAAACCTAGTCTTATTATTATTTTTAAATAAGATTCTTTATAGTCTTACTATTATAAGCCTTAGTTAAGATAAAGCTATTTCCTTAGCCTTATAGTAGTAATCTATTAAGATTACTAAGTCTTAATATATTAGTTATTTTTAGTTTTTATTTAACCTAGTTACTTTTAGATTTAAGCTTTAAAATATTTAGTATTTTTTTTAGTATTAAGAATATAATATTAGTAATAAGGCTATAAAAGAATCTTAGCTTATATATAAAAATTAAGTTACTAATAGTATTACTTACTAAAGAAGTAGAACTTTAAGATAATAAGGAGGATAATAAGCTAAGTATATAATTTCTTTTTTTAAACTAAATACTTTATATTTATTTAAAGGTAAGAAGTATTTAAGTAAGTAATAGGAAATTCTTCTTACTAAATAAGTAATTACTATATACCTTTTATAGTAGTTAAGACTATAGATTATAATAAGTAATCTAATAAATATATTTATTTAAAGGTTATAACTATATTAAGTAAATTTATATTATAATATATATAAAATAAATATATAGAGTCTATATATAAATTACTAGGGGGGTATAGTAGTAGAATTTCTTTTTTTTTATATAGAATTTTTATAGTAAATAGACTTATTAGATATACTTTAGATTAGCTAGAGTTTAAAGTCTTTCCTCTTCCTATATATAAAGAGTTATAAATTTCTTATATTTTATAGTAAAAGTTAGCTTATATAATCTTATAAATAGTAAGTAAAAATAATAAGAAATTAATACTTTTCTTTATTTTATTAATAGCTTTTATAATATAAATACTATTAGGCTTATAACCTATTATAACTAATAGGGTATATATAGGGTAAGAGGTAAAGGTATTATATTATATAACTTCTATCTAGTTATATAGTATAGGTAAGTGCTAAATATACTAGGTAATAGGAGATTGTTTTTCTAGCTTCTAAGCTGCCTATTATTAAATATAAGTCTTAATAGCTAATAAGAAATATTCTATATAAATATAGCTAGTAGCTAAGTTATTTAAATAGCTAGCTAATAGTAGTATTAATAGCCTATTATTAATAATAATATAGATATTAAAGAGAAAAAGGAAGAGAAAAAGAATAATACTAGTAAAAGCACTTTAAATAGTATTAGTTAAGAAGAGGGTACTAAAAAGAAAGAAGAGAAAGTAAGTAATTTTAAAATAACCTCTATATAAAATTTACCTAGCTTAATAGCTACTAATAGTAATAGTAATAATAGTAATAGTAATAATATTAATACTATTATTAATAATAATATTAATACTAAAGAAGAAGATAATAATAGTATCTTTATATATACTTTAATACCTATATTGATATAAGGAATAAGGAGTATTTTTAAAGAAAGAAGTAATAAAAAAGATAAAAGTAATTCTTTATTAGCTATAAAAGAGTAATTAATAATAAATTATATAGTAATATATAGCTTAGAAGGTATAGGAAAAGAGTATATTTATTACTATACTATTCTAGATATAACTAATATTAAAGAAGCTATTAATAATCTTTAAAAATTAAAAATTAAAATAAGGCTAGAATAGTTTATTTAATTAGCCTATAATTTAGGTAAAAAGCCTTATATAATTATAGTTTAGAATAAGTTAAAGTTAAAAAAGGTAAAATTATAGTTTATCTTAATATTCTTAGCTATAAATAGTATATAGCTTTACTTTTTATTTTTTTAATACTCTTTTCTATAATAGTTATACTTCTTTATAGCTACTATTAAATATACTATTATTCTAACTTTTCTTCTTCTTTTTATACTTATAAATATTCTTTATATCTATTTTAAAGCTTTTTAGTAATTATATTTTAACTTTTTAATACTATTTAATCTTTAAATTAAGATTCTAGAAAGTTATTTATTTTCTAAATAAAGTCCTATTTAGATAAGGTTAGCTTATTAAACTCTTCCTCTTACTATTCTTCCTATTTCCTACTAGCTAATATTATAAAGTTAAATAGCCTTATTATAGCTAATACTATATTAACTTAATTCTTAATATAATATTTTAATATACTATTTTAAATTAGCTTTTACTTTCTCTTTATATAATTAAATATATTTTTAACTTATATTTAAAGTTAAATATAATATAAGTTAAATAATTCCTCTTTATTTTATAGCTTTCTTAAAGCCTTAATCTAATTTTAAAAACCTATTTAGTACTATATTAAAGCTATTAATAATAGCTTTTAATATTAAGATAGTATTAAAAATTAACCTTTTTAAGCTAGGTATAATATATAAGAAGTACTTATTAATAATTACTATAATAAATATATTCTAGTTAATAATACCCTTTTAATTTCTTTATTATAGCTATAACTTTATTAATATATAGATACTAATATAAATACTATTAATAACCTTAATTATACTAGTAAATAGCTAGAATTTAGCTTAAAGCTTAATACTTAAAGATAGCTAATATAGCTTTAATAGCTATATAAATTTAGTATATAATTTAATAAAAAGTTTAAAAATCTAATAAACTACCTTTAATATATATAATTAATTAATTTTAAACTTAATAATAATATTTCTTTAAGGCTTACTATATATATAAATCTATATAAAGATTAATAGCTTAAATTTAAAAGAAAGCCTTTATAATTTAATAGTATTAGTATTATTTTTAAGTTAATCTTAAAGCTTTAAAAAGAGCTTCTTTAATATATAGAAGTTATTATAGAATTTATTATTATTTAAGCTACTAAATAACTCTTTTACTATAAGCTTTACTATAGCTATACTATAATACTAATAAGGTAATTTAAGACTTTTAAAGTTTTTATTATTATTATTATTATTATTATTATTATTATTATTTTTAATAATAATATTTATAATAACTTTATATAATTATAAAGTATTAAGAAAGTTATATATATTTATAAATATTTTATTAATAATCTATATATAAAGTACTAAGTTATTTTATTTTATAGAAATTCTAGGTTATTATTAAATAGCTAAAAAAAAAGTAAAAATAGTATATTATTACCTTTTTTAATATATAGGAAGCCCTTATAATACCTCTACCTAGTATAGTACTTTAAAAATCCCCCTATTTAAAAGTTATATAAAGACTACTAGGGTTTAGCTAGTAATCCCTACTAAATTCGGTAAGGCGCCTAAATTGTGTAGATAATTAGGTTCTAGGTTACTTTTTCGAAACTTAGCATCTGGGCATAAGTTAAGAGGGCGAGCGATTAGACGGGGTGCGTTAGGATGAAATGACCCGGACCCACCCATCCATTTACCCATCCACTTACCCAGACTGCCCCTAAAACTGTGTAAGGACGTGTCGAATCAACGCGTTATTATGTCTCTAGACACGCTTTAAGGTACAAGCATAAAGCAGTCGAAAATCCTTCTTTTACAGGGAAGTTTATGTGTATTATCCGATTAGGCATAGTACATCAAGTGCTTGACGAGTTGTCAATCGAGCCGCCTACATAGTCAAGTCAAGCTTCAATCAAGCTGAGCTACCCTTCAATCAAGCAAGTTCGAGGGCCGAAATTGAGCTTGACTGATTGTTAGCCACACTGGTTGGCTGTTTCTGGGGGAAGCTCAGTGCGCGCGCCGTGGAGCTGTCTCTGATCTGAAAGTGGGCCGTGGCCTCTCACAGAAATAGAGACCATTCTCTGGTTGTTTCCCCTTGCCCCCCCCCCCGATGTCATGGGGCCTTGCCCGCCTTACGCTATGGTTTCGGATGCCTGCCTAGCTGAAGGGCAGGAGGCACCAGCGCCAGCCTTGCTTACCAGCAGACCGCCAGCAAGGCAAAGGAAGGGAGGGTCGGGCCGTTTCTGTCGACGGTTCGCACCAGACAGAGTTAGCTTGCGCGAGCCATCCCGCGCATCCGTCTCAGAACTTTGCCCGGTTTAGCACCAGCGAGGCTAGCGTCCGCGAAACCCGGTGCCTGTCCCGGTGGCGGGGGGATGGTCGAACTCTTAAGCTGCGTCACCTGCACTCCGAACCGTAAGCAGCCCATCGATTCCAAGAAACCACACCGCAAAAAGAGACCAGGAGACAGTTGAACAACTCTTACCACCATGAAGAACACAGCCTTTATGCTGGCGGCCGGTTTACTCAGACGTGCGTGCTGATGCTGCTGGTCCAAGTCTCCAAGCGGCCACTCTCGCCCAACGAGATCCGATCCGTGCTCGAGTGCTGCAGCGAGGGATACGGCATGGGCGAACCCGGCGCCTTGAAAGGCATAGACATGATGATGCGCATCCAGAGTATTTCGGGCGGGCTAGTCGAGTGCTACCTACCGCGTCACCATCAGCAGCACCAGCTCCAGCACAGGTATCATCATCTCTTCCACCACAACCACCAGCAGCAGCGCAGCGCAGCACTGACGACGCAAGCCAGCGTCGTTCGCCTCATGCACCAGTCGGTGGGCGACTTCCTGCTCGATGATGCCGGCCTCGGCATCCTCGACGCGCAGTTCAAGGTTGCCGATTCCGCAGCGCAGTTTCACCTCGCTGCGTTTCGACTCTGCTTGCGCACGGTGCGCTGCAAGATCGACACCGACTACAACGAGGTCGAGATTCCCTTCCTGTCGTACGCCGTGCTATTTTGGAGCATGCACGCCCGGCAAGGCGAGACAAACATGGAGGACGACGGCGACGACGACGACGACAAGGACGGCACCTATGCCGAATTGCTCGACGACTGCGGCAGCAACGGCGCCAAGGAGCTCGTCCGTTTATTCAAGCAGCACAACCACTTCCGCCAGTACAAGGCGTTGGCGGACAGTGATGTGCCCAGCACAACCATGCTCTCGGGCGAGACAAGCGTCCTCGCCTTCCTGGCACTTGCGGGCTGCACCGAGCTCGTGAAGCGCCATCTCGCAAAGTGCCCTGATTGCCAGCCGTCTTCGTCGTCATTGCCGAAGCCGGCCAGTCGCGTGCGCCATCTACAGCGAGCCTTTATGCTAGCTGTTCACGGCGGCCATGCAGCCACGGCCAAGGCCATCTTGGATCATCCCGCGCGCGCGTATGCCGGCATCGACGTCAATGGCGCGGCCCCCAACAACGACAACGAAACTCAGACGCCGCTGTTCACGGCGTGTGTGATGGGCCACGCCGACACGGTATCCATGCTGCTGGGTCGCGGCGCCGATCCTCTGCGGTGGCACGACGTGCAGTTCGAGTATGCGCTGTTTGCGGCGGCCGCGCATGAGGACACGCATGTCGTCAAAGCCATATTTGAGCACTGTCGCAGCAACCCGACGCTGATGGTGACGCTTTTGTCGACGCAGGCCAAGGGCGGCTACACCGTGTTCCACCACGTCGTCGTCCAGGGGCGCTCGAAGGTGCTCGACTGGCTACTCAACGAAGCCGCGCGGGCTGTCAACGACGTGCTGGTAAAGGCTCTCACGCAGGGCGACGACGACGACGACACGGCATATGATGTGGCTGTTCTGATGCTGAAAACTCTCGAGGAGGAGGGGACGATAGACATCGCGGCGGACGAAAAGTCGCTTAAGCATGCTGTATCAAAGCTGGAGGGCCTTATGCAAGCGAACAAAATTCCACATCGTTGCGAATAGTACCAAGATATGCGAACAGCATTACAGCGCCTTACGAATAAAAACCGTCAGTGATTGCCATGGTTGCGGGATGCTCTTCTTGAATTTTAGGCATACTTTATCAAGTCCTCGACGAGTTATCAATCAAGCTGGCTGCTTGGTCAAGTCCGGGTTCAATCGAGCCAGAGATAGGTTCAATCAGCCGAGACTGAGGCCAGAAATTGAACTTGATTGATTGTTAGCCACACTGCCCAGGAGGGGATGGACTCTGGTGCGGGTAGATGAGGAATGGGGAAAGTGCTCGGAGGTGGGATGTCGCAGGGCACGACGGCCGGACAGAAGGTCCCGTGTGAATTGGGCAACCACAACCTTGGTTCCTCTATCTAGTGAGTGGCTGCGGTCGGTGATCTATACTCGTACCGGTTGGTGCCGTAGCAGCGACTGATGCTAATGCTATTTATTACGCCCGGAGGGAATCCCTTGGAGGGCCACTGCGCTATGCTATTTACGAATTCATTACATTGTTGCATGTCTCGTCAAGCCCCTCAGATGTTGCTCTTTCGGTGCTGCGGCGACTGTACATGGGCACCCGGGTGCCTACGCAGAATGGCACCTGGGTGCCCAAAACATGTGTCACGGAGTGAGGTTGCACAAAGGGAGTGTAACTCGGTATAAGGATTACGACTCGAAGTAGTTGGACAGGTGCTGTGGCTTACGAGCTAGTGCCAAAGACAACGTCAAAATGCCTCTGTACGGGGACTTGCAGGTCAATCATCTCTTCCAAGACGCGAAGGAATTCCAGTGGACCCCTGCCTCGGATTCCACCGCCGTCATGCTCAGTATGCGCGCGTCGGCGGTATCCGGCTTGATGTGAATGCGGAACTCGTCTGTTCCCAGTCCACATATAACGCAGGAGCTGACATTATACAGCCACGGGTCGTCCAGGCAAGCGTCATAAAAGGTCCTGACACATATTTGGCACAGCCAGTGGCCGCAAGGCAGGCACTGCTGTGGCCGTCGCTGAAGGCAGGCAAAGCAGGTATCTTCCGACGAGGGTAGGCGGCTTTTCTGTTGAACATGTGCTAGCTGCAGCCTGTGAAGATCTTTCGATCCTTCGTGATATTTGAGATGCTTATAGAGTGCACAAAAATGACTAGTGATGAGCGACGGGAAGTCGTGGCCCATAGTTAAGAGCAGTGTGTCCAACAACCAAGTAGGGCAAAAATTGACCCCATTACTTTACCTGGTTGGTAAATCGCTTTGCTTTACTTGATTTACTCGACTAGAAGGCCTTAATTTACTTGGTTGATTGGCTTTGCCTGATTACTCGATGAATTTGGTAGGTTGCCCCTTTCCCCTAACTGAACTACCCCAACATACCGGATCGGAGCAGATGCTTTTGGCACGCAATGGCTGCTACTGTATCTGAACCAACACGGTTCCGCTCATCCGTGATAATCCTTTTCGTCTGGGAGAAAACCCGTTCACACTCCACACTCATTGCCGGGCAGCTGAATAAGTCCAGCGCCATTTGGGACAATACGGGATAGTCTGTTGCATGGCGAATCCACCAGTCCAGCGGGTTTTCAACCTCTAGATCCGCCTTGTTCGTCCTGGCCATAAATTCATCGAGCTCGGAGGTCAGCTTTGCGCGCTTTCTTCCACTCGTTTCTGATGTCGCCGCAGCGGCGAGCCCAGTGTGTCCAATAGTGTGATATTACCATACATGATGAAAGGTTTGAAGGTCATATCATATATGATACGCACAGGTCCGTCGTCATATCATATGAGGTTCATATGATATGACCAAAATGTATGGTAATACACATGACCATATCATTCACAAGACTCTCTCATTACTAGCACGGCTAACAAAATACAACTGCACAATTATAGCCTTAGATTGAACGCCGATGTAGGCCATGGTCTCTCAGCTGAGGCTAAGCTGACATCAAGGTCATCATCCGCAAAAGCTACTCGTGTTTTGTGCAACCGCCTTCAAGGAATTTGATATATTTATCGCTCGATAGATACTATATACAGACTACTAACAAAATAAATAAGGACTAATAGCTAGCAGTTTATAAACTAATATACTATTAACTATAACTATATACTATCTATACTAATAAATATATCTATTACCTTCTCCTTTTTTATATTTATTATAAAAGTCTAGTACCTTAAAGAAATAAAACCTTCCCTTTCTTTTTTAACTTAAAAGATAATATCTTTTACTATATCTTAAGGTAAATATCTATATATAATTAGAAATAATAAAATCTAAGTTAAGCTATATTTTATTATAGGTATATAATTAGTAAATATTATTATTAGTTCTTAAATATACTTCTAGATATTCTAAGTATTTTAGTTATTAATAACTTCTTTATTTTTATTTTTTACTCTTTTAGTCTTATTAAATAAAAGTAGATAGATATATTAAAATAATCTTAATAGTATTTTTTAACTTATTAATTTAAACTTAACTATCTTATCTATATATCTTAATTAAATTATAATTAGGTTAAGATAATTAATATAGTTAGTTATTATAATTAAAGCTTTTCTTTTTATAGAATCTATATTATTAATTATATTAAAAAGACTAAAGAGTATTATATTATTATTTATATTTAACTTAATATTATTATTTTTATAACTTTTTATACTTTTAATTATATTAATATCTTTTAAAAAGAAAATATATTATATTAATAGTTTACTTATTAGGTTATTTAGTATTATATTATTAACTTTAAATAGGTTTATTATATAAATATCTAGACTAAACTATTTAATAGTTATTAAGCTTAGGCTTATTTTACTAGTTCTAAGTATACTATAGAGTAAGTAGTTATAATAGTAAAGCTAATTATATTTAATATATTAAGTTATAGCCTTTAAGTCTAAGTACTTTATAATATTATTAAAGAAGTCTTTTTTTATATTCTTAAGAAGGATAATAATATTTATTTATTTTTAACCTTACTATATAGTAAGATTCTAGTAGTTATTATTATTTATATAAATTATAGTTTTACTTTTTATTTATATTTCTAATATAACTTAGTAATTATAAAGAAATTCTTTTAGAATTCTATTTAATATACTTATATAAAAAAGTAGAAACTATTTATAATATAAATACCTTTCTTTTAAAATAATATATAAGTAAAGAAACTTACTTTTATATTAAAAAAACTTATATATATTCTTTAAACTATATTATAATATATTTTTTATTACTTTATTCTTTAGCTTAGCTTATTTTTTAAAAGTTATAATTATAAATTAAGTTTTTATAGTAAATAGCTAAGATTATATCTAGTTTTTTAAGGTATTATATAAATTATTAATATAAAAGACCTTTATAGAAAATATTAAGAATAGTTAAAGTTTAAATAACTTTTATAATATTAATATAGTAAATTAATTAAAATATTTCTTTATAATTTAAATAATATATTTATATATAAATCTTATTAAGAAAGTAACTAAGCTATATATATAAAGTAGATAGGTACTAAGATAAGATTTTCTAGATATAAGGGAATAGATATAGCTTAATATAACGCCTAGTCCTAGGAAAAGAGTATCTAGAAAGAATACCTATAAGTAAAGAGTACTAACTATAGTAGATACTATAATATTTTAATATATTAATTAGTAGCTAAGTAGAGTTCGATAGTATTAATGTGTTGTACTTGCTAGTAAAAGGGAGAAGAAAGGTAAGAAAGATTACAAGAACCGTCCCCTTTACTTACATGGGCTTTATATAGACGGGCGAAGGGAGCATTCATTCATTCCGCCATGGGGCGTGCATCAAGAGACCTGCATGGAGGATTCAACATTACCACAAGTCTACCAAGACATTCGTGCAAGCTATATCACATCTCGTGAGAGCTGAACGTTGTAATCGGCTAGAGCGGCTTCTTGTAGAGGTTCATCATGTATAGCGCCCTTCTCAACGGATGTAACAGTCAAAACCGGAGGATACAGGACCACGGAGCATGCACGTCGAGGTCTGCCCCGGATCTCTTGACCTGTATCTGCGATGTACTTACTGATGCAGTTGATGCAGTTGATGCAGTTGATGCAGTTGATGCAGTTGATGCAGTTGATGCAGTTGATACAGTTGATGCAGTTGATGCAGTTGATGCAGTTGATGTAGTTAATGCAGTTAATGCAGTTAATGCAGTTAATGTAGTTGATACAGTTAATGCAGTTGATGCAGTTGATACAGTTGATGCAGTTGATACAGTTGATGCAGTTGATGCAGTTGATGCAGTCGATACCAGTTGATACCAGTTGATACCAGTTGATACCAGTTGATACCAGTTGATACCAGTTGATACCAGTTGATACCAGTTGATACCAGTTGATACCAGTTGATGTTGATGCAGTTAAAAATTAATAGATCGACAGAAGATGGGTAGGTAATGATAGTTATGGCAGATAGTAACAGTTCACTATACAGTAGTAGATAGTACAGGAAGCGACTATGCTGGCCGTCGGAAAATATTGATCACAATAGATGGCAGTTGAGCACCATCAACCAGTTCCACTAGCTGAGTACGTGCTCCAAGCTTGACGAAAACATTTCGATATTTTCGGTGACGATCAGGCTTCCTTCCTGATCCAGCGAAGAGTCCCACAGATGGTTCTTTTCAACTGCCCACGTCTTTCACTTCTTCCCTCCACCAGAACCGCCACAAACAGTACACGTCCATTTACCTCCGACGGTACCATTGTCGCAGCCACCAGGACATGCAGGTTCTGCCATCCTTGTATTTATTGGTGTCTTATGCTGAACAAGCGATTAGGACCATGCCAACAGTGCATACGACTCCCAGTTTGACTTGATACTGGTACTCACCGTGATTCCAGTTTTGCTGAGTTTATATTTTCCGTCGAAGGGTAAAATGGGATGGATGTCCTTGGGCACCAATATATGGCGTGTCAATTACCAGCGTTGCGGGTTTTTTATTATGGGTCCAGTCCAGGGATCAAGTGACACCTTTTGTCTTCTGCAGACCCCTCGCTACGCCAGGCCCCGACCTTATATAGTGCTGAGGTGGCGAACATGGCATCCGAGTTTAAAGAGGACCCTTTTAGAGAAAAGGATCAAGTATCGTCCGTCATCACGCCACAGCAATCATGGCAGTTTTATGAAACTCATGGATTCTTCTATCAAAGGAACGAGATTGTTGGGGCTTTGGTGCACGCACTGTTTGCAGCTGGCGCAGCTTCGAAGGCATATCTGCCCCTCTTCCAGCCGCAACTCAGCCAAGACGAGGTGAGTCGCTCGAAAAGTTATATGGCACAGTCGCTAAATTGAACAGCGCATCATGAGCATTCTGACGAATTACCCCTACGAACGTCCGGATTTCCATTTCGGTTGGGGAGGCTTAGACTTTTTCTACAGTCTCGACGTGTCCAACTCAACATACAACGGCATCGCGATATATGCAGCCGAACCCGGCACGAGCTTTTGTTGTTGCGATCAATCTCAAAAACACAGCGGAGATGGCGAGTGGACAAATTATGGCCCTCGACGTTTTGACGCGGAGTATGCAGCACTGTACCGCAAGGTATCCGTTGACCTGGAATCTGGTGGCTTGTAAGTAGGAGCTACACGGTAGCCAGGTAATTTCTGACCTTATAACAGCGTGATCGTTCACCCACGGCTACTACATCATCAAATTAATGGCAGATCTATACTGTTGGGAAAACTGCATACTGCAGTATCGCGGGTAAAAGAAAGGTCAGGGCGATAGAAAATCAAAGCAGTCATGGTGCATACCCATCACATTGGTGCTTGCCAGAGCGAGACTCGGTCGAATGGTACGGCGCCTATGGGCGGATTTTGGCCCGCCCCTTCGCAAGCAGCTCTTCGGGCCTCCTCTCCATAATCGAAATATAAAGCCAAGTCTTGGCCGGGTTGTGTCCAAATTGACTCTCGCTGATATTGTGACGCATGAATGGCTGAATCATCCTTCGCACTTAAGCCGGCAGCTTGATGCACTGGCTCCTGCACCATCATAGCAGCAGTAGTCAGCCCTTCTGTCGCTGGCTGGCACGCTATCATTGATGGGCGGTCATCAGTGCGTTGCTGCTCGGCTAACTTATCGTCCACGAACTGAATTCGACTCTTGCGCTCCTCTGTGTCAGGCTTCATGCCGTCGCAGGAATGATATATGTATGCGTCGGCATTGATCGGTTTCTTGCCACACTGGACACATTGTAGTCGCCAGTTGTAGTCTGGAGCAGAATTAGCATCATAGCCATGAAGCCTCGTAGGGGGTGGCGTACGCTGGTATGTGTGTCGCGTCATGTTGTACTGCTTGGGTATTATTCGTTTGCATATGTTACAAAAACGTCTCCGGCTTGTTAGGACAGGCGATGCTGGATCACCGTGGAACATGGCTGGACGTTGCAACGCAGAATTGCCCGTAGGGCAATCACCTGTTCCGTTGCCAGGTCCATCTTCGAAATATTGAAGCACCACGGTTGTTAGCCGGCTCTGCAAATCGCTAAGGTTATTTTGGTGGTTCGTTATATGTCCCGCGTGATCCTTGTTGGAGGTGATGTCGCTTCCACAAAAGGAACACGAGATTGGGTACAGCGGCATACTCTTTTGGGCCGGAGACCAAATTAAGATCAGTGGTGAGAAACAGTTGAAAGCAGTTGGGAGCAGTTGACGGGACAGAACATCACTTTTATGGTGGATATTCCACTAAAAGCACATCGTCGGTTATGCGCAACTATGCAACCTACACTGTGTTGATGCCTCGTTAGAACGATACAAAAATGCCCTACCGAGTCTTTGCAATCTGAATTACTCAACGAGAACAATGTCTCGCAGTGGGTTGAGCCTGGGGCTTTACAAAGCAGCTACTGAAGAGGGAGAAAATGAGCTTATTTCGCCCAGAGCAACCATCCAGACGTTGGGCTCTTCCAATTAAAGCATTACGTCTCGCCTGGCGCCTCTACTTTCCGGTCATTCAACTCCATCGTTGCATCTTGATATTCTGGGTTCTGAAACGAAGTGTCAACTGGTTTTAACCTAGTTAGGGATGAAAGCGGTAAAGCATCGACGCAAGTGTGCCCGGCCATCTCAAAAAGTGGTGACAGACGCCCAGTCCTGAGCGGAACGGGGCGACGCGGACTTCTGCCTGCGACGCCAGCCTTATTTCACATAGCATCTCCCAACTCTCAAAGTGTTGTCGCCAAACGCTACGAGCTGTCACAGCAGCCAACCAATCAAATACGCGACTTTTGCAACCATTCATTCATAAAAGTGTAGTCTGGTTGGCTCACTCACTTAGGATAAGAGTTTACTACTAGCCTTAAAAACCAATCTATTCCACCGCATTGCCGCCAGGACCTCGAGCACTGGGAGCATCCAGGCCTCGTGGTGTTAGCGCGAGAGTAGACCTAACTGATTAGGTGCGTTGGTTCAATAACGTGACCGGCTAAGCTATTGTGATTTAAGTGGAGATCACGGTACGCATAGGCAGCTAGAGACATACTTATAGTAAAAAGCTAGAAAGGAATAGTAATATATAAATAAAGAAGTTAAGTTTAGAG